ATTTTGAAGGGTTTATGTAAAGAAAAAGATGAACAAAGGTTTAGGGTTTGTGACTATTTCTATATATTTTTTCGTTTGTAGTTTTGTGGTTGTGTTCTCTTCTTTGTGAACTGTGACCTCTCTCTTTATATGCTATGAACTTAGGATTTATTGTTGAAATTGATTTGTGATATCAGGCATTGAGCCATCTCTTTTCGCCTTGGACTTGTGATTTTCTGTTTTTTCTGATATGTCAACTCTGTTGCGATTTGATATCTTGCACTTTTGATGTGTTATGCTGCCCCTGTTACTTGTTGGCCCTGTTGCTTGCTGGCTTTGTGAATTATGGTTTTCTGTGATGCTTGCTTTTTCAACTGAGTTTGTACTTGTTGCTTGCTGGCTTTATGAATTCTGGTTTTCTGTGATGCTTTTTCAACTGAGTTTGTACTTGTTGCTTGCTGGCTTTATGAATTCTGGTTTTCTGTAATGCTTTTTCAACTGAGCTTGTACTTGTGCAGTACATTACTTTTTTTTTTGCATTCTTAATTAATACCTACTGTGAACCAAACAAATATTTTTTATTCACTTGTTTGAGATTGGTAGTGAGGGCTAGGCCTATGATTGTAGCTCTGACTTTTGTTTGAAACATAATAACATGAGGCCTTTGATTATTGCTTTGAAACATGATGATGGACTTTAATGAGCTTGCAATTCTTATTTGTGATGCTTCTTGTTGGGCTTGACAGTAAATTCTTGGTTGGGCTGTGATATTTTACTATTTTAAACCTCTTTGAATTTGTCTTTTGTGAACCAATTTATTTGTGATTTGCAATAGACCTAGCCTATGATAAAATCCAATTTTGTATGAGGCTTTTTGGAACATGAACATGATTGAGAAACAACCTAAAATCCGATTCCTTAAACAAAACCCTAATGATGAAATTGAGAAACTCTTGCTTGATAACTTTCTTTGTTTGTGCTCAAATTTAATTGATTGTTAACTTATTCTATTTCCTATTTCATGTGATGTTTGTGAGGAATGGATGAATATGTCAAGGAAAAGTGGCCGGGGCAGCCATAAAGCGCATGTAGGGATATTGGAAGAAGTTTTGGCAACTTCTTTAGATTTAGGGATTCCATTTGAATTTGTATTGTAAAAAATTTAGGACTTTAGGCTATGAAACTTGCATTCTTCTTGTAAATTGAACTAAATAAAACTTGAGAATTTTAGGACATGTTCATTTTGGAAACTCTTGTAAATTAGTGAAGTACTTGGTTGTAATACGGTAGGAGAACTGACTTGGTTGTTTTGCGTTTGATTGGAATTATTGCGGATAGCAAGAGTTGCCACCGACTTTTTTTATCCAATAAAGGAAAGGGTGAAAAGAACAGGTAAGACCTTTAGAGATATCTTCTTGAGTTCGGGGGGTAGGTTATGAAAAGGGAAGGTGTTAGCACCCTTTTCATTCGTAGTTATCTACGGGATCTTAGTTGCTTGATAGAGCACTTTGAAAAATGCTTTGTTTGAAATGTGTTTGTGGTGGGTTTTTGAAAGTATTTTGAAAACGCCTTTGTTTCATCAAACTTTGTAATGATTCTCGTCTCTATAAGAATGTATACAAAGTGTTGGTTTTGAAAATAATTCAAAGAGATGTTTGTTTTTGAAGATGTTTTGAAATTGTAAGTGTGAAAATTGTTTTGATTTCTGAGTAAGCAACTATGAGCGTCCTACCTACTCAAAAGGTCTTTGTTCTTTTCCTCCTCCTTTAGATGTTACTATCTTACCATTGATTGGTAGAAAGCCCCATCATTGAATGTGAAGGGACAAGCGCGGGTCAATCGTATAGTCATAGAAGGCAATTTATGAGACGCTTTAGCAATTTTTGTAAGAGACTAGATCGTTTATCGAAGGCAACATTGAGGGACACCGAGGGACTACGATCTTTTTTTATCGAGGGTCTTTGCTAAAATGCCCATATTCGATGGACATGACTATTTTCCGAGGCAACATGTGAGGTTACCGTAGAGGTTGATTTCTAGCGATTGATTTTATCTTGCCATACACACTCTAATTACTAACAATTTATATTAAACTGGTAAATTGTGGAACTTAAAATCCTAAGCTATTACATCATTAGGGGAGTGGGGGTACAATTTACAAATGGGGATGAGGTGGAAACTTAAATATTACAACCATATCAAATAACAATGAAGGAAATGTAAAAACAGTGTAAAAAGAAGGAAAAATTGCATTTTGAAATATTATGTGTCGACACATGCTGTTATGTATCGACACATAACTTTCCATGCCCCTGCCAAACCAAGTCAACCCAATATGAGTCGACGCATAGTGGGATGTGTCGACTCATTCTGCTTCCTGTTTCTGAAAAATCCCAAATCAACTCAGTATGAGTCGATGCATAATGGGATGTGTCGACTCATCACCTGTTTGTGTCGACACATACACATTTTTTGTCGACTCACGCACCTTTTATCCTTCCGTTTTGGGGCCTGCATAATAGTATGAGTCGATTCATAAGGCCATGCATCGAATCATACCCTGTTTTTTCACTAGAATGAGTTGACTCATGTGGGTATGTGTTGACTCATGCTGCCATTTTTCGCCTCTATCATCATTCTATTGTGTGTACAGGTCATCTCATAGTATATGATCGATAAAAAATGAATAATAAGCAAATTTGTAGCTCAAATGGACAATGATTACTACATTTTATATTCAAGAATAAATCATTAGTGATGTATGAAAAATGCAAAGTCAAGAAGATTTACCTTGAGACTGCACTTAATGTTTTAAGGATGAATACTTTTCAAGAAGCTGTGAGGGTCTTAATGAATCTTCAGGAAGTAATTCCAAGTTGTTTGAACTTTCCTTTGTATTGAAAGTTGCTGAAATAACTCCAACTCGGTCAAGTTGCACAATGTTGTCTTTTGTTTAGAAGGTGAAAATAAGGGCACTACAGAAATTGTTCTTGTGCTTGAACAATCTCTATGTGGTATGAAGTGCTTGGATGGCTGGTTTATGGGAAAGTTTGTAAGATAAACATTGGTTTGAGGGTTTTTTTTTTTGTTTTGTGAATGAATATATAACTAAAAATGAGCAGAAGTTACAAGAAAAGTTATGTTAGATTTTTGTTCAAAGCTCTCTATTCTCTTTTTGAAAGCCCCCCCATTGTATGTTGTGAGAACAGTTTATTTTATAGATGATGTTTGGATGAGGTTTGGGTGGGGGGGTGGGGGGAATAAATAAGCTTTTGAACAGTTTGGGTATGCTGTAACATTGCCTTTTTGGATGCAACCCTTTACATGCTAACTTGGTGCATCCATGGGACTGATATGATGCAGATTTTCAGGGCAGCATTGCAGGTTTTGGAGCAGACTTTGACAGCATAGCATGGCTGTTTTTATGGATTTGAGTCAAAGAGAAAAGTTCAAACAAAACAAGAATTTAGGATTTATAACTTAACATTTCTAACTTAAAAAAATGCAGTCTTGTAATAACTTGAATATCTTGAATTATTTTGAATTGTTGTGGAGAAAGATGTTGTTGTACCCCAAAATTTACCCTCCCATTTTTCATTCTAGATGCTATCTTAGGGTTTCTCAAATACTCAAAATGACTTAGGGTTTGATCAGACAAATTCTTCTCCTAGGCATTGAGTCAGCAGCTAGGATTTGTTGTTTCTCAAGAAAATTTGAGTTTTCGAGGTTTCAAATGGTCTTCATGGTTTTTCATGTATTCTAAAGGATGTTCGTGTCAGTTTTTCAAGCCTTGTGTCACGAGTTTGATCAGTCATTGGTTTAGATGACTAAAAATGACTGCATTGACCCAAAAATCGACCTTTGCGAGATCATGTTCAAACGATTGTAACTTCTTCATTATTCAATATTTTTGAGCGGTTCTTTTTGCGTATGACTCTCCTTGACGTTATCTCCAACTTCTCTTTACAACTCAAGAGTCGATTACATGCGAAAGATTATTAGAAATTCAGATGCTTTAAAGAAATGTCATCTACAAATTTCCTTAAAGATTGGAGTCAAATTATGCTTTGAATGATATGGAATTTATTGAAAAAAATTATGGGTCATGTTTTGATTTGTAAAAATTCTCAACTTCTAATTTCCATTCCTATCACGACGGGATTTTCCAAAGCACCGTTTGATCATGTGAGAGAAAGTACAAGTGCAAAAGTGCGGGATTACTTGAATTTGAATCAAGAACGGGTTCGATGTTGTGAAATTTTATTTCTAGCACCCGATGCAATAAAATCAAATATCCAAGTTCATCAATTAAATTGCAATATCAATTCAATAAGATTTATGAATTTGGAATTTTGAGTAAAATGCATTTCAAGAGGATTATTTCAAGATTGCAAGAACAAAGTGCAAGATTTTTTTTACTTGCATCACAATTCAAGATTCAAATATCATTCAAGTTTCAATTCTAATTCAAAGAATTCAAATGGTGGATAATGAAAATATGATCAAGGTCATGATTATGGATTGAACATGGAAAGGATAAGTAATATTCACCTGAAAATGAGAAGAAAGGATATTATTGGAGAATGTATCATTACAAGAATATTCAAAGTTTCAAATAATTTCCATTTTTGCATTCATACAAATATCCATTCAGATTTCCAAGTTCATCATAAATTCAAGTTCATTCATGAGAAAGTATTTAAGCATACACTTGAATTCAAGGCTCATCCATAAATTTCATGATTCAAAACCATTACACCATTCTTGATTTCATTATAAAATTACATTCACAAGTACATGAAAACTAAAGTTCTAAACCCACACATAAACCATATCCTAATCAGCCCCAAAACTTGTCCAAATTAACCCTACAAGTTGTCAAAATTGTCCACTGCACTACTGCCCTGCAAAACTAGCTACACAATCTTCATAATAATAGCAAGGAAGTCAGTCCAAAACCTGTACCAAACAGCCCAAAGTTTGCATAAATTCAGCAATACAAAAACTGCAACCAAAAAGCAATGAAACAGTGTCTAAAATTGTTCAAATTCATCTCATTTTTCCCTCCCAATTCAACCCCTCATGCTTCAATAAAACCAGAAGACAGTAGAAAGAAAAAAGGAGGAGACGGTGATACCAATACACTTATAGAAAAGCTACACAAAGAATTCACTCCAAAAACCTCTCTTTCATATTTTTCTCTTTTCAAAATATCAATATCTTTTCTCATTTTTTCTAGCTGTTAATCAGAGAAAAACTCAACAAGTAATTATTCAGAAGAATGAGAAGATTTCATATAACCTTTAGTTTTCGTTGCTGAATTTGTCGATGACATCGAATCTGCTCCAATCCTGTAAGTTTTCCCCTTTCTGTCTTGTCAATATGCTACTGCTTTGTTTGTTTATGCTGCTACTATTTTGCTGTTATTATAAATATTAAAACATGAAAAAACAGAATAGTAATGTAAAAATCAGCAAAAGAAAATTGTTCTATTTTTCTCCATCTCCAACCATCATCATCACCATAAACTCTCATCAATCTATACTTTTTTTCTTCTTTATTTATCTTCATCTTCCCATCACCATCATCTTCCAATATCACATTATAACTCATGGCTTCCTCCCCGATTCAATACAACTTCCGAACCTGCTTCATCACAAACTACAACACTTATGTTACTACTCTTATTCGTATTCTTATTCACTATCACAAGTTTATTTTTTATAACCTGCAATAACAAATAACAATAACAGTCCAAGAGTCAAAACAGTTCCAAATTTTACCTTTTGTGAATGATGTGCTCACTTTTCACAAATCCTGTAACATTTGAAACTTTCAACTCAATTGAAACTTCCGTACATTCGAAGATGTTGAGTTTCGTCGTGACGACACTGATATGTGGATATGTGCTACCATTAACCCCAACTTTGAAAAATTGTCTCTCTCAATTTCCTACTACCATGGGGATACGGACATGCTTTTGAACAACCTACATCAGTGCCAATCCATTATCACCATCTGTAACCCATCAAACCCAGTGCCAAACTCCCTTCGTTCGTTTCCAGCCGCAACACTGTCAACCAAAAATACTTCCCTAAGAAAAATTCAAAAGAAAAACAACACCATGTCCCTTGAAGACTCTCTGAGATCTCTTTCTTTTAGCTAAACCTCCTAATCAACGGACAAGCCTTCAGCGACGTTGTTTTCAGCAGCAAGGAGTCTCTTCGTTAGAAATTCTTCTGTGGCCCAGACCCACCTTTCGGATGCAGAAACCGAGTCAACTCAATAACGTTGGTATGGTGTCCCACCTCTTAACTCACTAGATCACGAGGTTTTCTTGATGATGCTTCAGTTTCACTACAGTGGTCAAGTTTCTATTATTCCTCATAAACATGAACCTAGGCCTGATTGCAGCGACCGTGGCTATTGGCATACGCATTGTACATCATCTGTTGATCTCACCCTTAACACTCTCTCCGCCGCGAGATACTTAGGCATTGAACAGTTTACATTGCTTAGAAATAACTTGCAAGCATGGTGAAGAAAAAAAACTTCCATTTGAAGATGTAATGAAGGTGATGAAGGTTTAACAGGGAGAGGGAAAGAGGGTTGTTTTTCTTTTCTGTCGTTTCAATTGTTTCTTTCCTTTAATTGTTTTGTTGTTGGAAACAACAATAATATTTAATTCTATTTTTTTCTTCCTTCCCAATACAAAAACAAAACCAGCGGCGCTGCTTTGCAATATTAGGGTTATTTTTTCATTTCCTTTTCCTCTTCTAAATCGGGTCAGCCCATTGGGCTGCTGGCCCAATATCCATTACCGTTTTCCCCTTATATTTTAATTAAATCATAGAAATAACAGATAGAAAACACAACTCAGTTGTCAAGGCATCATTGTTCATAATCAGGAGAGCCCGGGTTCAACCCCTGTTGGGTAGCTTTATTTTTCTTTTTTAGTTCATTTAGTTTATTTCTCAATTTCCTTAATTTGATAATAAATATTAGTTTAGGTCTAGCTTTTATTTTTTTCAATTAAATGAAAATATATAACTTCAAATATTTTCTTAGTTTAGACTTTGTAAATAATTTTTCAATATTTTTATATATAGTCTAAAACACTTTCTTTTAAAAAATTTAGTTTATACATAATAAAATTCAAATAATAATAATAGAATAGATCTTTATTTCTTTTTTAAAATTCTCACAAACAAAAATATCAAGAATTTATATACTTTATTAATTAATTTTTGCTTCATAAGACTATTGTAGTTTTAATTAATTTGTTTGATTCGATTTGGTTGTATTGACTGCCTATTTTGACATTTAATCGCATTGATCCATCCCCATTTGTAAATTTGTACCCCCATTCCCGAAAGCTTTGTAATAGCGTAGAACTTTAACTTCCACAATTTACTGTTTTCTTTATACTGTATAGTAATTAGGCGTGTATGATAAGATATAAAATCAATCGCTAGATAACCCTAATCAAAGAATAAATTAACTTGAATCAAAAACACTTTCACATGCGCACCTCTAGGGGAACCTTGCTTGTTGCCTCGGAAAAAAAGTCATGTCCCTCGAATATTGGATGTTTTAGAAAATATCCTTCGATAAAAATTTCATAGTTCCTCGATGTCCCTCGATGTTGCCTTCGATAAATGATCTAGTCCCTTACGAAAATTTCTAAAGCGTCTCACAAGTTGCCTTCTATGACTGTACGATTGACCCGCGCCTGTCCTTTCACATCTAACGATGGGGATTCTTACCAAATCAATGATAAGATAAAAACATCTAAAGGAGGAGGAAAAGAACATTTAATACCTTTTGAGTAGGTAGGTTTCTCCTAGTTGCTCGCGTGCTCACAACAACAAAACATTTTTACACCAACACTTTCATCTTGAAACATTTTCAAAAGACAAAGCCTTTTGTACACGTTCTTATAAAAAGAAGAGCCATTACAAAGACATTTTCAAAATACTTATAAAACTCGCACCACAATCACACTTTCAAACAAAAAAGCAAGTGATCTAGCTAGCAACTAAGAGCTCGTAGATAACTGTAGATAGAAAGGGTGTTGATACCTTCCCTTTCCATAACCTACCCCCCGAACTCAAGAAATAATCTCGAAAGGTCTTTCCTGTTCTTTTCAACCTTTCCTTTTGGATAAAAGAAAAGTTGGTGGCGACTCTTGCTATCCACACAATTGCGATCAAATGCAAACACCCAGGTCAGTTCTCCCACCGCGTTACAGATGTCATGAGGTAATTAATCATGTATAGAAAATACTTAGAGAAATTTTCCATGTCTTACCAAGTTTTATTTTTTGACCTTCTTGATTTTTGATGATCAAATTTCATATTTTGAATGCCTTGATGAAATGTGATTTTCGAAACTCAAATTTGACCAAAAAGTCAAAGTTTGACTTTTCAGTGTACTGTTGACTTTTTCATCAGTTGACCAAATTTCATCTATCAATCCACTGATTTTGGGAGATGAATTGAAATATGAAATTAGGTCAAAAATGATGTATTTGAACCCTTGAGATCATATTTAGAACCAATAAGTCATGCTCTAGATCAAAAATCAAATATTTGTCACTCTCAGTCAAAACCTTAATTTGGAGTCCCAGAGATTCGAAGATGATTTTGTCTGATCAATTCCTTGAAAATTCTTGAAAAAGAGAGGCAAATTTTGGGGTACAACAACTTCCTCTATTCAATCTTCTTAAACCTGAAAAGTTAGATTGGCGGGTCCGCCATTCGTGACTTGAAGGTGGAAGATGATTGAACACTAGAGTGCCCATAAATTTGCACTCGATGATGGGTTGGTTGATTGTGTCAGGAATGGGATTAAAGATTCCATATGGAGAGGTGATGTAGAGTTTGTCAGAGATGAGCTCACAGATGCCATCTAAAGTGACAGAAAACATCTGTTGTTTGGCGACTTCACGGGGGACATAGTCTTAACCGGGAGAGGTATAATGATTGCATGTCGTTAATTGGTGGAAATGAATTATAACCAAAACAAGTCTTTGTCTTGTTGATTGACTTTTCCTGCAAGGAAGAAGGTTAGTTGTATGCAGATGTATGAATGTCGCAATGATGTTCTCAAAATAAATGAGATTGTGTCGTATGCATTTGTCATGTATGTAATATGATGTGTGAATGTGAGACATTGTTGAAGTGTATCTTTGTCTTGGAAAATAAATCCTCGACAAATGTTGGGGAGTTTCGGGAAATTAAATCCCAGACTACTGTTGGGGATGAAGAGTATGCACACCTTCAGACCTTATTTGGAATGTTTCCACTAGGGATTCCCGTTTTGTTGTTTGAGGAGAACTCCGTCGGGGAATATTGACTTTGCTTGAGGGAACTCCATGGAGAGTGTTGATTTCTTCTTGAGGGAAAGATTTCAGGAGTTTTAGTCGTCCTTTGCTCTACTGGGGAGTTATATCTTGATTGGAGAGAAAGGAAGTTAGTTATTATCTGGTCAGATCCAGGATTCACAACAATTTGATGGGGATAAAGAAGTTAACTGTTATCTGGTCAAATTCTAGGCTTTGCAGCAACTCACTAGGGATAGTGGCAAACTCTACTGGGGAGGGGAAGTTTTGTTTGTGATTTGAAGAAGTTATATTATTATCCGATCGAGTCCAGTTTTTGTAGTAACTCGAACTGTTATCTGGTCGGGTCTAGGTTTCAGCAATTTGATTTTGTGGTTAACTTGTATCTGGCCGGGTCCAGGTTTCAGCAACTCAAACAATTACCTTGTCGAGTCCAGGTTTCAGCAATTTGATCTTGAGGTTAACTGGTATCTGGTCGGGTCCAGGTTTCAGTAACTCGAACTGTTATCTGGTCGGATCCATGTTTCAGCAATTTGATCTTGAGGTTAACTGGTATCTAGTTGGGTCCAGGTTTCAGCAACTCGAACTGTTATCTGGTCGGGTCCATGTTTCAGCAATCGAAGAAGTTAAACTATTATCTAGTCGGGTCTAGGCTTTAGTAACTTAAAATTGAGATTTGTTGTTATTTGGTCGGGTCCAGGTCTCATCAACTCAAACTGCTATCTAGTTGATTCCAGGTTTCAGCAATTTAAGAAGTTAAACTATTACCTGATCGGGTCCAGGATTTAGTAACTTAAAATTGAGATTTACTATTATCTGGTCGGGTCCAAGTTTCAGCAACTCAATCTGTTATCTGGTCGGGTCCAGGTTTCAGCAATTGAAGAAGTTAAACTATTATTCGGTCGGGTCCAGATTTTAATAACTTAAATTTGAGATTTACTGTTATCTGGTCGCGCTCAGGTTTCAGCAACTCAAACTATTATCTGGTCAGGTCCAGGTTTCAGCAATTGAAGAAGTTAAACTATTACCCAGTCGGGTCCAAGCTTTAGTAACTTAAAATTTAGATTTACTATTATATGGTCGGGTCCAGGTTTCATTAATTTGAAGTTAAACTAATATCTGGTCGGATCCAGGCTTTAGTAATTTAAAATTGAGATTTACTGTTATCTGGTCGAGTCCAGGTTTCAGCAATTCAAACTGTTATCTGGTCGGGTCCAGGTTTCAGCAATTGAAGAAGTTAAACTATTATCCGATCGGGTCTAGGCTTTAGTAACATAAAATGGAGATTTATTGTTATATAGTCGGGTCTAGGTTTCAGCAACTCAAATTGTTATCTAGTCGGGTCCAGGTTTCAGCAATTGAAGAAGTTAAATTATTATTCGGTCGGGTCTAGGCATTAGTAACTTAAAATTTAGATTATTATTATCTGGTCGGGTCTAGGTTTCGGTAATTTGAAGAAGTTAAACTAATATTTAGTTGGGTCCAGGCTTTAGTAACTTAAAATTGAGATTTACTATTATCTCGTCGGGACCAGGTTTCAGCAACTCAAACTGTTATCTGGTCGGGTCCAGGTTTCAACAATTGAAGAAGTTAAACTATTATCCGGTCAGGTCCAGGATTTAGTAACTTAAAACTGAAATTTACTGTTATCTGGTCGGGTCCAGGTTTTAGCAACTCAAACTGTTTTCTAGTCGTGTCCAGGTTTCATAGTAATTTATTTGGATGGGATGAATTTTAACTAGTATCTGGTCGGGTCCAGGCTTCGCAGTAACTTGCGGTGATAGTAACGACTCCGTTGAGGATTGTAATGATTTTACCGAGGA